AAAGTGTGTGCGTCTTATGGAGCGAATACTGTCCTCCACCCACGCCACCACCACTGGCTTCTGAGGCCTCCGGATGCCTCAGAAGGCCCCATGGGGGTCCCCCACATCACCATTGCTGGCTTCTGAGGCCTCCGGAGGCCTCAGAAGGCCCCGTGGGGGTCCCCCCCAGGCCGCTATCGCTGGCTTCTGAGGCCTCCAGGAGGCTTTGGACCGGTAAGGTGCTGCTTTTTACTTTTTTAAAAAATGTACTGGGGGGGTTTTGGAGGGTAGATTTGGGCTGGGGGTATGTTTCTTTGTTGCTTTGTTTTTTGGTTATTTTTTTTTTTTCTTGCAGTCCCAGCATGGGACTTGCTCTGTTTATTTATTTGTACTTTATTTTTTGGTATTTAAAAATTGGGTGCTGCTTTTTTACTTTTTTAAAAATATTCTGGGGGGGTTTTGGAGGGTAGGGTTGGGCTGGGGGGTATGTTTCCATGTTGCTTTGTTTTTTGGTGATTTTTTTTTTTTTTGCAGTCCTAGCGTGGGACTTGCTCTGTTTATTTATTTTTATTTTTATTTAATTTTTGGTATTTAAAAATTAGGTGCGTCTTACGGCCAGGTGCGTCTTATGGAGCAAAAAATATCGTATTTTACTGAATCAGAGCAGATTTTTATGTTTATTTCTCACTCTGTTTTTTAATATGATTCTTTCTCCCCCAGTTAACCACTCTCTCACAAACAGAGACAGGAAGAAAGAGATTGCAACTATGATTTCAAATACCATCACTCTTTTTTGCCTAATTCTTTAACAAGAACAGGAACCTCTTCTGTTTTACACAGCTTTAAAAGAGGTGTTTCTGCAACATGGGAATGAGGCATAGATACAGGCCATTGAGCCTAACATGCAAGGTGGTCAGGGTTTATTTTATTTATTATTAGACTTATTACCCCGCCCCTCTAGACAACATCTACTCGGGGCGGCTTACAACCTTCCAAGGGCTCCCCCAAGGAGGGAGAAAAATGGTGTAGGGATGACTGATCAAATGTTACAGGGCACATCCAATATCTCTACAAGGATGGGGAGATGCAGAAAATATTAATGTTCAAGAAATATGGCCGAAGACATATTGGAGGGACAGTGTCAGGAACAAGGATAATCAAAATCAGTACCTTCAACAGGACACTGGAAAGATCAAAGAGGTCCACTCTACCTTACTTTTTTCAGTAAGACAAAGTGAAAGGAATCACAAAACTGCTGAAGCAATTAAGATGGGAGGAAAAAGACTGGAAGGACTTAAACACAGCTTACGATAAAGATTAGTGACCTAATTCCTCTATTTTGCAGAACAATCCAGAATTTGCTATGCTGGGAAAGGATGAATGATTCTTTTTTTAAAAAAAACAAACAAACCACCACCCTGCTACTTTCCGGGCGACACAGATGCCAGAAAAAGCATGTGTAAGAAGCTTAAAGGCCACGTCCAACAACTTGCTGTTGCTTAGGGAAACTGACCATGTAGCCCTATAAAATGGCAGACATTTTCTTTGGCTTCTTCTCCTCCTAATTATTTATTACCTCCATCTCTTTCATGCCACTTTCTGGGGGATGGGGGGGAGGGGTTAATGAGGCAAATTTCCTAAAAGCCCCACTAATGTAAAACAAAGCTATAGTCTCCAGAATTTTATGCTGCAATACCCATAAATCAGAGAACGTTTTTAAAAAGTCAAAATTAAGTACATTTAGCTCTTTTTAAATTTTTTTGCAGAGTGTAGAATACAATCCCTACGGGTAAAGGTAAATTGTTACCAGAATATATAAACGTATGAGATGTCGGTAGAGGTGGGTGGGTAGACATGCAGATTCACATTTCCTGGACTGCAACTCCCAGAGAGCTCCCCAAGCAGAATTCCGGGGGGCTGCCGTCCAAAACCACAAAGTTGCATACCTCTGTTCTGTGCACACATGTATGTGTACACTGTTTTTCATCAGTTAAAAAAAGCTCTGTATATGGTTAAGCAACTGGAACACAGAAACACTGCTTACAACTTTTCGAACTGCAGTGTCTTTAAATGCCTACATTTTAGCTGTCGTGCTGTGTAAAGTGCACAATACAATGTCAATATGGCAGACCGAAACAATGGCTCCCAAATAGTCAAGGTCTCTGGGAGTTGTAGACAAACAAACAAACAACCATCTAGCACCCCTGAGTAGGGACCACTGGACTAGAAAGCCCTGTCCAGAAAGCTGAGTGTTAACAAATAATATGGCTTGGCCCTTTTAAACTGTTGATAGTTCTTTTTATTTGGTTAACCAAGTGTGGGCATTGTTATCAGTGTCCATACCATTTGAAATTTGGCATTTTTGTAAGCTGCCTGGATTGGCCCAGTTTCGGAGCTGAAAGACATGGTCAGACTAAAAACAATTACCCCAAGCAGTGATGGTCTTTCCATTTATTTACATAAACTCAAATTAGCCGCCTGAACTAAAGGAATGGTTTCTTTCAGTTATGGGCATTCATGCAGCGACAGTTACCAGAAGCTCAAATACAGTGTGAAATCTGCTGACTTTCAATCTACTGCCAGCAAAACATTGAAGAACTATTATGCAACCAAAGGTGTCAAAGAATCAAGCAGAGATACAGACTTAGCCTTATCTCAGGTAAAAGAAAGCTATGGAGAATGAGGTACAGCATCTCCTGCTTTTTAAAGATTCCAAGTCATTTGGGTTGGAAAGAACATTACTCATGATTTTCTAGGATTTCTTAGTTGAGGGACTGTAGTAATAAATCCAGAGTAGATGACCAGGATTTATCAGGTATCCTAATGGAACATTACTAGATAGCTGTACTACATTGTTGAATCAGAACCTGCAATATTACTATGTTTGCGTGGAAGAGAAAATGTTGCTGCTTCTCAACAAAAGAGTGTGGCAAAAACATCACACAAAAATATATCTCTGCAAGGATAAAGATTGCATGAACATGCTCCTAACTAAACATCAGTACTGAAGCAAACCAAAGTCTACAACCAGTTGTAATTATGCAACTTCATATCTTCTCTCATTTAGCATGATGTAGGGTATTCTGTTTCTGAGCAAACACAGAAAAGGACAAGGAATTACACAAAAGGCATTGGTATCCTACCATATAACCAATACTAATTTCATCCATAGGCACCGGAGTTTGACATCTAAGACTTCATTGGCATAGCTGATGCACTGAAAGCATACCTTTGCAACTAAATAAGTTGGAAACACACTTCCTTTGCCTACTACCAGAGAAAGCCAAGATTCCCAAGGTCAAGTTTCATATCCCTTACTACATTCTACTGTTTCACCAAGGGGCAAACTATATGCTGCTTTGCCACATTTTTGTACTCATTGCCAGCACAGGAACCCCTGGATCAAGACCATGGCATATGGAACAAGGGGCTTAAAACCTTTTCTCTCATTGTGATGTCAATCTGGTTTGGAACTTTCATACTGGCAATCAGTGACAAAACAAAGCCGGCACTCAAGCCCTATAGCAATGGCTACATGTAATCTAACTCCACTACTATGGAATCATGGCACTCTACGAGCCATGGTTGTGCTGCGTTTGCAGGAATAATGATGCAACAGGAAGCTTGCTGACACAAGTCTTTTATGCAAGAACATACACGGCATTCAATGCAGGGACAGCAACTGCATGCCACTTGATTAAGGGAAGACTGAAGAAAGTTTTTAGTTTTCAGCTACTTAAAATAAGAACAGACCAGCTGCAAATAACACTGCAAAACAGAAGTTTTCATTATTTAAAACAAGGAACTTGAAACCATAATTGATATGCAGATGACTTTGGTAATATTACAGCTGACAAACTTCCATGTTGAAGAACTACCTTTAGAAAAACAGATTTCAGACTACATAAAACAGTAAAGTTATATACACACACACGCACACACACACGCACGCGCACACACACACACACACACACACACACACACACACACACACACCCCTATAAGGCAAGTTCTCTGTGGTAGTGCAAGAAAAGATGAAGACTCTGGCTTCTGCACAAACAACCTCTTTACTGCATTACTCAGACCTTTCCAGGGAATCATAGATTTTACATGGTCAGACTAAATGACCACATGCAGAGTTAAATTTTAAAATGGAATAAAACATAAGATTAATAACAGTAGCAGAGAGAAAACTAATTTAGTCAAATAAGGAGGAAGGCATTTGCTTTTGATTATGGTTTATGCAGTGCTACAAGTTTCCTATTATTCCAGAATTATACCAAGCCAGCAATTTATCAAGAATCACTGCTATAAGAAGTCTCTTCCTAAAAATTATACCAAGCCAGCAATTTATCAGGAATCACTGCTATAAGAAGTCTCTTCCTAATACTCAGACTGCTAGATGTGATTGTGAAGCCCTAACATCTAACTTACACACTGCTAACAAGGGTTTATTATTTAGTTTACATTAATGTGGATTATGCATTGAGGTTTCAACAGTGACTCCTAGTGGTTTCACCTCTTTCCATTCCTTACAATACATAGCAAAACAAAAAATAATGAAGAAAAAAAAAAAGGGGGGGGGAGATTCCTCTACAGAGGTAGGCTGCATGAAAAAATGCCTGAGAAGTTGGCTTTCACTCCTCCACCTTCTCCAGTTCATCCTATGTTTTGATTTATAGTCTTCACCTACATGGCACCTTGTAACAAATCTGAGAATGGAGGAAATGCCTGGTTCCATACTGAAAGTTACCGGCAGGTATCTTAACAGGGTTACTCCTCAGAATGGGGGGTAGGAATCCTACTTTTACCTGGTTTTACCAGTTCACTGGAATGAGAGAAAGGTAACTGAAAATACATCAGACTTGGTTGAGGAAACCTTCAATCTTGTCATTTTATGTGAAGATCTACTGTACTGAAATGGCTAAGGTAAATAATGCCAAGGCCTATTCTAGACACAGAACGCCATCAACCAGACAACTATGAACAATTCACTTACAAAACAATATAACAGACATCACCTGAGTTGTATCTTCCATCAAACCTCTGATTTTCTCTACCACATCAGTACGTCTGTGCTGTCGGAGGGCACTGATCAGCTGGGCAAGGCTGGCTTCAGAGCCCCTGATGGTCCAATGTTGTAAAGCAGCATAGGCCCTCTCATGGTCTGCAGAATATCCATTGGCGAAAGCTGCCACCTCTCGCTCACTTGCGTTGCACAGAAATTGGTAGACATCCTTCCACTGACTTCCAAGCTGAGCCGCTACCAGCTTCAGAATGTCGATTCCTATTTAAAACACAGACAAAAGACAAGAATCATGAATTCATGCCCCAGTGGCTTCTCTGTAGTCAAAATGCATGTGAAGTATATTCAGACATTGCATCAAGAGCCTTTTAATCATCAACAGGAATGCTTCAAAAGACTGGTATTTACTTAAACCAAAAGATTCAGCAAGATTTTAAAAACACTCTCAATTTCTTAATTGTTTACTGAGGGTGTCTGTGCCTAACCTCACTGTCTGCCATATGCCCCATTACAGACCCTTCCCTGTAGCATTCCCACACCACAGAATGACACCAGTGTCTCAAGCAAGACAGGCAGTGCATCCTGAATGGGCTGTTCTGGCTGAAGAAATCTGGTTCACGTGGTGCAGCTCACAAAAGTTCATCTAAACTAGAAGTTTCTTTTAATAAGGAGACACCAATAATTTCAGGCTCTCACAATTCTCACACTGCAGTTACAATCTGAGGATTATAGTTTGGCCTCGGAGAGCAAAAAAAAAGCCTTCAAGCTGGTAAGATTTTCATATTTTAATTGGAAGAAACAGCTGTGTCAATAACGAAAATTATTTGGCAACACTAGCCTGACAAAACTTCCAATGAACAGATGAACCCCATAAAACAAAATATTTCATTTACCATCTTAGAAAACAAGAAATGGAAATCAGATGAATAACACCAATGCTGGATTAGGATGAAGGAAACACAGCGTTAAAATCTCTGAGTAAACATCCAGCACTGGAGAACCTTAGGTCACTCACTATCTCATAACCCCCAAGCCACCATTAACAGATACAGTAAATTAAAAGATAGATAAATATAATGGGAGTGGATGAATTAAAAAAAAACAAAGTATAAGTGAAATGCTGAACTACATTTAACCAGCCATTATCCAATGTAAAGATTCATGTGAATTTCTTTTGAATCAAGGTAATTGTATTGGGAATGAAATATGTACATCAGGTCTGTACCCTCTCACTCTCTCTGTCTTGGGGACAAACAGGGAACCACCACTTCTGGAAGCTTTTGGGAACTGTGTGATGTTGTTGTTGTTGTTTTAAATTAAAAAAACCCAACAGCCACCTTTGCACATTTTAGACTTATAAAAATCCATTTCAAATGGATCTGAGACTGAGCTGAGCGTTTTGCATATTCAATGTAATATAAAATATTTTAAGATATGAATTTCCTCTGTTAGAAGTTTATTAGATCTTCCACTTATCACTTGTTAAGAAGCTGAAAGTTCCTAGAGAATATTCCAGAGCAGAGAATATTAAGGCCAGATCAAGCATTTTTTTTGTGCTTACTGAAATAGTTGGGATATATTTCAATATAAGAATCAGCTAACATGTTGGTTATGCCTTGATATCATTTTTCCACTGACACAGTGGTGCCTCGACTTACGAACTTAATTGGTTCCAGAACTCCAGTCGTAACTCAAAATGGTTATAAGTCGAAGCACCATTTCCCATAGGAATGAACTGAAATGCAATTAATCCGTTCCAGCTGAAGAAAAAAATCACACACACACACACAAACCACTGCAGGACCCATCAGAAATATGATTAATTCATTCCAGCCTGGGGGGGGGGAAGCAAGCAAACCGTGAAAGACCCATCAGAAATGCAAAAGAAGCAAAGCAAAAAACAAGCAAACCATACAAGACCCATCAAAAATGCAAAAAAAAGTTAAGCAGAAAGCAAGCAAAACCCTGCAAGTCCCATCGGAAATGCAAAAAAAGCAAAGCAAAAAGCAAGCAAACCCTGCAAGATCCATCGGAAATGGGGAAAAAAACAAAAAGTGAACAAACCCTGCAAGACCCATCAGAAATGGGGGGGAAAACCAAAAACCAAACAAATCCTGCAAGACCCATCACAGCATATAAACATAACCCCACCACCCAGCCCAAAACCATGCTGCAAAATCTACCCCGAACAGTTTTTAAAAAGCAGAAAGCAGCACCTTGCCTTACCAGGCAGTCCAAACCCCTCCTCCAATCGCACTCACTCTAAACGTTGGGGCGAAAGAGCTACAAAGGAGCAGCCTCTTCTCCTACCAACAGTTAGCAATTTGATTTCCCCGCCTTTTCCCCCTGCTTTTTTTGGTTGCAACTCAAAGCTCCGGCCACAAGTGGAAGCAAAATTTTGCATCATAACTCAAAATGGTTGTAAATCACTGCAAGACTCATTGGAAACACGATTAATCCCGGTCGAAGGGGGTGGTGGAAAAGCAATCAAGCGTGCAAGACCCATTGGAAATGCACAGAAAACAAACGGAGCAGATTGGAAATGCACAGAGAACAAAGGGGTAGGTCAGGAATGCAAAGAAAACAAACAAAAAAGCAAGGGAAGCATGTCGGACCCATCAGAAATGGGGGGGAAACCCCAAAAGCAACCAAACCTCCCAAGACCCATTGTAAAAGGTGGGGGAGCCAACAAGCAACCAAACCCCCAAGACCCATCGGAAATGGGGGAAAAACCAAAAAAGCAACCAAAACCCCCAAGACCCATTGATAATGGGGGGAAAACCCCAGAAGCAACCAACCCCCCCAGGTCCACTGGAATGGGGGGAAGCCAAAGAACAAACAAACCCCCCAAGAACCATCGGAAATGGGGGAAAACCACCAATAAACAACCCCCCCAAGATCCATCCCAGCACAGAAACATAACCCCCCCAGCTCTAAATCACACTGCAAAAACACCCAGAACAGTTTTTAAAAAGCAGAAAACAGCACCTTACCTTAGCAGGCAGCCCGAAGCCTCCCTGCAAGCACACACACACACACTCACTCAGAAGCAGGAGGAGGCAGTCCCAAGCCTCCTCCAATCCCACACTCTCTAACTGCTGAGGCGAAAGAGCTACAAAGAAGCAGCCTCGTCGCCACCTACAGTTAGAAATGTGAATTTCCCTGCCTTTTTCTGTTCGTAAGTGGAAGCTTCGGTCACAAGTAGAAGCAAAATTTTGTGGCCGGAGCTGGTCGTAACTCAAAATGGTCATAAGAAGGGACGGTCGTAAGTCAAGGCACCACTGTATGCTTAAAAAATCCACAAAGATACACAGAACACACTATTTAAAAAACACTCATCATTTTCACACAACTGACTGAATACAGCTCTAAGAATTATCCTATGCACTTCCTTGTCTCAACCCATCTTCTCTCTTTGTATATTCTCCCTCTGTATCTGCTGCCTGTTCTGCCTCCACTTGCATTAGTATTTATTTGGCAACTTTTTCATGATTTAGTGGGGGTGTACGCATCCAACACATGAGGAACACTGTTTAGCAATTGAACAAACTTAACCATGTTCTTTGATCATGCAAGAAGTCCAACCAAATAAGACATGGAAACCCTAAAAAATTCCTGGGTGATAGGACCATGCACCCACAAAGAGGTTAGTGTTCAGAAAACCCATTGTCAGGTTACCCTGGAGATCCAACAGTTACCCAGGTAGCCGGCTCAAGGTTGACTCAGCCTTCCATCCTTCCGAGGTCGGTAAAATGAGTACCCAGCTTGCTGGGGGGG